CAATTGAAATTCGTCGACCGTTACCACGTTCCACTGCCATCGATTTGCCATCAGCTTTTACTTCGTACGTTTAACGCCATATTTATCAAGAGGTTTCGAATTTTCCTTCTTTGTGAGGTTGACTGTCGAGTATGGAGGAATCGGCCAGTCTTATTTGTTCCTTCTTTTATAGTGTTCAGTACTCGATGGAAAGAAAGTCGACTAAACGACGTTTAAACCGACCGTAGGACACAAAGTGGCTATGAACTAAAGGTAAGGGAGCTTTTTGAATCAATATTTCGCGTGATCATGATTTTTTTTCCTTAGCGTTGTAGATTCGAATACATGATAAAATTAGATCAATAAGGGCCCGAATCACATGTAATAATGCAAGAAATATCGATTTTCGTTATCTTAAAGGCTACTAGTACCGATAGACAAACAAGAAGACTTCATATCTTTAAGACTTTTTGCATTTATTTGGCATCAGATAATACACTAATAATTCTAGTTTATTCCGACCAAATGACCTCTGAAGTCCGAACCCACAAATAGTGCGCTTGGGCTGCCTGTGGTATAATTAAACTTTTGTTCCCAAGATACACTGTAAGTGATGGCAATATTGCAGAAGAAGTAGGTCCATGAAGTTTTAAGTAATATGTCAATAATGTTGTTATGGTAGTGATGTATTGGGACACTCACTATAAAATGAATACAATTATTTACCTGGAGTCAATTGTCTTGTTACAAAAGGGTTTCTCGCATTCATTGTTTTGTTTTGTTTTTGCTCAAAGAAGGTCTTAGTTTTAACCGGTACAGTGTAATCAGGATTATGATGACCACTTGGGGTTAGATTTGAGACATGAAAGTTACGAGCCAGCAATTTGTTTAAACTAGTTAATTTTGATATCAGTTAACTCAGGAAATAAGTAGCCTGCGTAGCAGGCGCTTGGAAGTAGTGGGCACAAGAAAAAACGGGCGCGTGAGAAGGAGACACGCGAGGGGAGAGGAAGCGCCTGCACGGAAGGCCCCCGAAAATCGTTTCCCGCCCCCTCTCTAATTACTTGGCAGCCGTTGCGTGATCTGTCAAAAGTTTTGACAGAAAGCGACTGGACCTCGCACAAACAAAGCAAGCCGCCAAAAAGCGTTGTACATTTTATCTTCGGTCTAAATATATCTGTTATAAAGATCAGCTGGGTTATCTGATTATAGAGCGATGGAGCAATAAACTGATTGTTAACACACAGCTTTAAATCGTTTTTAACCATGGGCACAATAAATAGGAAATAACAAAGTCAAAACTGGGTATCTTTTAAAGAATGCATGCTGTGTATTATAAAAGCTAAAAATATTGTTCTGGTCAGACACCAACGATCACAGCGTACGTGGAAAATGACCATATTGCTTTTACTGCGCTAACTGGCAGCCGTTTTTGGAGCAGACATGTCTTACTAAGCGGACCTAAACCTCAGAACACAAACTGTACCGACATGTTTTCTACTGCAGTAATGAGACATAAACAACAGACCTCAGGTCGCCTCCGAAAGGCGAATAGTACAATAGTGAAATGTTTTTTTCAAATTCATGCCCCTGGTAAGTGTTTCATTTCATCAATCATGTCCAAGTTTGATGGTATACGTTCCATCGACAACACAAGCCGCCAAGTTCTCCTGAGCAAAGAATATTTCCTCTGATCTTCATTGCAACGATTCGACAAATCTTTTGTCTCTCGCCACTTCTGCTGATGCGTATCCGATGTCAATTCTTTCCATCGTGAATACCGTTTGAACACTCCAACTTTTCTTTGAGATTACAGCCACATAGTCCCATTAAACCAGATTGAAGTGACCTCCGAGACCTGAACTTCGATTGTATACAATTTAGTGGTTTCAGGACCCAGTGGTGTAATGCAAGATCTTCACTACGTTGTCCATGTACTATTGATTGACAGTTTTCTCGCCCCGCGCGGTTAATTTTTCCCTCGGGAGCCTCTCGACCAATTGGAAATATCCGCACTCACAGAGTGCGAGTTGAAACGATTTTCGGGGGCCTTCCGTGCAGGCGCTCCCTCACCCCTTGCGTGTCTCCCTCGCTCGCGCCCGTTCTCTCTTTCGCCCGCTACTTCCAAGCGCCTGCCACGCAGGCTAGGAAATAAGTAAGTTTAGTCACCTAGTGTGACTGCAGCCAGTAATAATACATGTAATATCTAATAGCAACCTTTTTTGCTATAAAAGGCTAGAATATTTAGACAGAAAAGGACAATAGTATTTTTCATGACAACCATCTACAGCTTTAGTTTCAATATTAATGGTCTCAATTATGTATAATTTCTGTTTGTTGCAGAAAAAACTAGAGACAACCCTTTTCCAGTCAACCTCCATTTCGAAGAAGGATTGTTGTAAGTTCAAAACTTGTATAAATGTGGAGTACATGTCTTCAGAGCAAGGCAATAGAGACCAAGGAGATGACAAATCCGAGAAAAGTGCTTTGCAGGAGGCCTCTAGCATGGAGGAGTCAACAACTTAGCCTGTGAAAACCTCTTTGCCAAGCTGAACAGTAAAGCAAAATTAAAACAGTCACATGTAAGCTTGTCATTACTCAATGACAATAGAAAGGAGGAATGGCTTCTCCTCAGAGCAGGAGACACCAGATAATGCTCCTGAATTTGCTTTGTGATAAGGAAATATAAGTTAATCCAAGGCTCTTAAAGAAATTCCAGATTATTTATGACTGGTTATACTTACAGGTACATGTACATGTAGCTCTGCAAATACAGTAATCCTTTAATCACTCTCTGTTTATGACACTGTTTTTAGAAAAAGATGAATCTGTGTAAACAGTACAAATCCTGATGGTGTTGATTTGTCGTGAGAATTCTGGTGGCAGGTAGATCAAATTGGTTGATGTGATAAATTTTTCATTAGAACCCTTTGGCTATTGTTTGCAAGTAATGTACCAGTCAGCAGGTTAAAAAGGCCAATTAATGTACAAATGTTTCTTTTAAATCTGTTTGCTTAACTGCAGGCATTTGAGTTCTGCTGGCACCACTTCACAGTACATGTGTACCGATTACAGCAATTGCTACTGACCTGCTCGAATAAAAAAACAAAACAAATTTAGGTACACCCTGCTTTTTGTCATGATTTATTACGGAATTTTGCAAAGGATTGCAACATGACTCAAGAAAAAGAGTAATGAGAGACAGCAGTGTAGTTATTTTGCAGGCTAGCCAGATCAACCTTTTGTACTACATGTACATGTATACTGAGTTTAAGATAATTATTAGCTTCTTCATTGGGACCAACTACAGTGACAATGGTAATGTTGACATGCTGTGGAATACTTATAGCTGGTCATTACTTTAATGACCCTCGATTTTCTTAGAACGGGGCAAGTACTAGAAGCTCCGGCTGGTACTTCCTCTAAGAGCATATCCAATACTATACAGGAACCATTAGCAACAAAAATGAAGTTAAAGAAGTCTGATCTGAATTTGAATAGCTACATGTACCTAAACTATTTCTTAGTTTGCCAAATGCTATAACGCAGTTGTTATACCAGCAAAAATTGTAAATTGGTAGCAATAATTAGGCCTTTCATTCTAATAGAGCCTAAAGAAAAAAATGCCACCAGAATCAAATTTTGTTTAATCTGTAAATAGCAATAAATACAAAAATACTAATTATTTATTAAAATGGGTGTCTTGAGGGTTCCATTAGTTGGAACAGGATTTTGCCCTTAGATACAAAAGTTTAAGTAAGAAATAGTCTTGTCATAAGAAAATATTGGTCCAAGGGTAAAAGGATTTTCAACCTGTTTCTGAGTTGCAAAAACCTAAACAACTGAAATAGGTTTGAGGCAACTCTGAAACACCTACAGCTGTATGTAGAATATCTTACACATTTAGATGAAGAACACTTTTCTTATAATATTAATAGTTAGTAATGATCTGATAGAGCATAGAGTGGAGACAAGTAAACATCAACGAACTGTAAAATTGGGAATTAATATGAAGAGCTGTATGTACATTTTTATACTGTAGTTTGTAATGTCTGTAATAATGTGTAAGCCACTTGGGTTTATGGAATAAATCATTTGAACATTAATGGGAGGTCACTGCTAGAATTTCTTTCAGTAACTTTAATATTTGATTAATTATGGCCATTTGTTAAGAACCTGAAGTGAGCCATGTTATAATTAAAAATATTTTTAAAATTTTATCGCATTTGCTATAACCCAAGCAAACTCGTTTAAACCTTGGAATTTACATTTGCTACTGCAGAAAACATGCTCAATTTTATGGGTTTGATGACATTTGCTAACCAAATTAAAGTCAGAATTTGATTACATTTGCTACCTGAGCGAAAAATTGTACAATAGTAACAGTTTGATCAGATTTGCTGCCCAAGCAACTTTGTTCAAAACTTGACTTTTGACCACATTTACCGCTACCAGCAAAATTTTGTGTTTGATCAAATTTGCACACCCTAGAAAATTTGTTCAAAGTTTAGGTTTGCTAACATTTGCTTCGTGAGCAAACATGTTTAATACAAAGAGTTTGGTTACATTTGCTATGCAAAGCAATCTGGTTCAATTATGAAAATTTGATCACCCATGATAACCCAAGCAAACATTGTTCAAATTAGATACTTCGCTCACATTTGCAAAGCTGCGTAAACGTTCTGAAAATAACAGGTTTACATGCTTTTACATCTAAAGCAAAAGCTGTGCAAAACAGCAGATTTGCGCGATCATTTGCGTAATGTGCAAATATAGTTCAAAGAAACATATTTGCCTACACATTTGAACCATCTGCAAATGACCCTCAAATCCATGGCTGCCCATTATCTTTGCACCAACATGTAAATGTTGTGCAAATGTGGCATTTACCGTCATTGCTACGGATAGCAAATTTAGTGCAATATCAGTCTTTGCTCTTGCGCAAAATTGTGCAAATGTGGTATTTGCTACACATTTGCTGTAATTTGGCTACCCTAGTAAATCCATTTTTTCGTCCAGTGATTAAAACAGGAGAGTGATGCCTGCGGAGGATCGAGGCCACACTCTTCCGGACGAATTTTCGACCGGTTGAAAAATTTTACCGGACATTTCGCTCATACGTGCCTTTGAACTGCTAAACGTCTGATTTCTTTGTACGGTTAAGGTAGTTCCGTGTGAACAGAAAACCTAAACGCGTAAATTTCAACTAGTCGAAAAATCGTCCGACGCACCTTGTGAACATAATTCTACAATTATTTTGGGACTTTCATTACTGGCCGCTTAATCATGAAGTTAAACCTAACTCAAACAAATATGGTCCTAATTAATAGACTATTACGGCTGCAACTGTCAGAACTGTTTAGAACCATTAACTCAAGCGTCACGTTCACTCTTGCTGTTAAAAGGGTCAGACTTTAAGGAAAGGACATCATTTAGTGGGAGTACATACGAAACTTGATTTGAACCGTTTTCACTGAAAGTTTATCCTTATGATTCCAAACGTTTACGTTGAACAACGTCAGTCCAGGGAATGAAATCCGTTGCAAACTTGAGCAAAAAATTTTCAGCTCTCTGCTTCCTTCAAGATATCCTTCAAGACAACGAAGCAGCTCAGTATTTGTTGGAAAGGTAAGCGCTAAGTTGTTGTGAGAAAAAACAACGATAAACCTTTAAAACAATTCCTATCCTCGCATGATCGCGAAGTCATCTTGTTAATAGTCACCGCCGCACAGTTAAACCTCGCTGAATTTTGTCTTTCTTTTAAAGAGAAGCTTAAATTCGCCATACCTTGCAAAAGAGAAGATTTTAAGAAGATACAATGTACAGCAGGTTTTTATCGCCATACCTTGCAGAAAGAGGTTTTAAGACGCTACAATTTTTATTTTGTGTGTTCTTTTGTAACAAGAAATTTGAAAAATATCTTCATCTTTTTAGGTTTTGAATAATACTAGATCGGCGAGCGTTTAAAAATTCAACAAAGGATAAGTAAGAAAATACCAAGTAACAACCCAAACAGTATGCAATGGAACAAAACATCAAAGGATGTTGACCACATGTTTTGAAAAATATATGTTTCGTTTGCTTCAAAGTCCCTATCCTTTAACGGGAAACTGACTTAAAAAAATGATTGTGGTTACAAACCGATAAACGGTTACAGGAAGCTAACAGAAAGCAGCTGTTAGCAAGAGTGGGTAGCACAGGTAGCACTCGCCTGAGACAGTTAGGGTGTAAATAATGGCCACCCACGATGAACAGGAAAGCGCGCATATCCCTAAATTTCGCTAAACCTCTCAGCACAGGCTGAGAGGCTGAAATAAAAGATTTTGTTCGTTCCACGTACTGGAGTCATCGAAAAGGAAGTTCATATTGACAACAAGTTTATCTCAGAGACAATTTTTCTGAAAGGTTTAGCGAAATTAAAAAAAAAAATGTATCTTGTTTACACTATGAGAGGTCTGAGAAACAGACCTACCGTTCGTTTAATAACTTGGTGAATCGTTGCACGTTGCAGTGAGCAGAAGGGTTGTAGTAGCGAACTTCTCTATCGGACTTCGTACACCAAAGAAGCTTAGATGAAGTTTCTTCAATCATTGGGCATTTTTAATATTCATTCAAAGATATCTTCGAGGTACGATAACTTGGAAGTTGATTAACTTTTATTGGCAAAATTAGTGTGCGATACGATGCAGTCTCTTTGTGAATATTTAATGACTTATTCAAGTTTAATGAAGGAAATATTATTGAAACGTACCCCGGGGGTGGAGGGAGGGAGTACTCCCTACAATGGAGGCTCCGCCCAGAAGGAATGCATTATTTGGGCTTCATGTATATAAAAGGGTGAGGATTTACTAGCTGAAGTATATGAAAAAGTAGGGAAATCTATCATTTCAGTCTGTAAAAAAGGCCTGAAGGGTTAACAAATGCATTTTATGGCTGTGAAAAAGTGAAAAAAAGCAAAAACAAAAAAACGTTCTTGTTTGTGATTTATTCATAGTTTAAAGGACATTGGATCAGAACAGCAGTTAAAAATGTATGCAAAGTTCCAAACTAGGTATGTGATAGGGGTACTTTTTCTGTCATAATTAAATGGTATACAAAAGGGTAAGGGGCTGGACCTCGGGGCGGAGCCTTCCCGTATAAACGGCCTTTCTTGAGTACTCCCCCCTCTTGAGTACTCCCCCCTTCCCATTGAAATAAACTTTCTACCAGGTGATCCATTACTTCTTAGTGACTTGCAGTTCAATGAGCGCTAACAATAACAGCTAAAATTCACATATATTTTTTTGTCCTCAGTTTTCAGTCAACCTATTCATCATACTCTCCCCTTAACCGCTGTTTTTGATTTTTTCTTTCCACAGGTGAAAGCAAGGGGTTTATTTCAGCGTTAACAAAAGTATCAAGAAATTAAAGTTAAGGTGAGCACTCTATTGAAGAATTGTTGTCAATGTACAATCTCCATGCTTGATATTTAAGGAGTCAACTTCAGTCCTCTTAGTCCACCTTCTAATTAACTTCCTTTTTTCAACTAACCAAACTTTATTCGATTTCTTTCTGAAGGGAGGAGAAAAGAGAATTAAAAGAAAACAATGAGTTCCATAACGCTCTCTTCAGCCGAGTGCAGCACATGGTATGCCGTATTCCTTACTATAGCTGTTGCTGTGGTTGCAGTGAACCTCCTATCAATCATCCTTTTTGTGAAGAACAGTAATCTTCGCACTCGTACCATGCACTTGGTTATAAACTTGACCGTGGTTGATATGTTTGTTGGACTAAGTTCCATTTTCGCTGCAGTATTACTTTTCCTCCTCTACGGTTGCGAAGCTGAAAATGTAATTTTGATCAGGCCGGAATTGCCACTTATTTTGGTTGTGCTTTCAGTGACAGAGGTGGGGCTCCCTTTCACCTCTGTAGCAGGTATTGCAGCAATTTCTTTAGAGCGGATGCATGCGACGTTTCGTCCATTCAGGCATCGCAACATCAAAAAATGGGCCTTCGGGGTAACAATTGCGGGCGTCTGGATTTTAACTGCGATGACGGTAATTCCCTATCCGTTAATAGGTCTCTATGGGAACTTGCAACAACAGTGGCAATTGGTATTTCCTTCGTACTTATTGCTCTCATATTGCTGCCTTTGCCTTATTGTTATCTGTGTTTCTTACACCTCCATTGCTTTAAAATTTTGGTGTGGAACCCGTCCTCCGTCCCATGGTGCGGCCAAGAGGAATAGACAAAGAAAACTGACTGTCACATTATTCATAATGACCATTGTATCTTTGCTTCTGTGGTTACCATATGTTGTACATACTTTTGTTCTACGTTCTGTTCTAGTTAGATTTTCTTTCCTGACACATTTACGCTTGAGATTATCTTTTTCTCTTCTATACCACACAAACTCGCTTGTTAATCCCATTATTTACACAATCAGAATGCCAGAGTTCAGAAGAGCTCTCTTGATATTATTTAAACGTCGACAAAGACAAAATGCTGCTATTCCTCTTCAAGCCCGTTAATTTACCTTGTCTAACACTTTATTGTAAGTTCAATTGATGACCTGTCAACTATGTCAACTATTGCTGTTTTGTTGCATGAAACAAAATCTCTTGAAAATAGTAGTTCAATGCATAGTGTTATTACTAACTTTAGATCGATAGAGCAATTTTCCTAGGACCTTGAAAAATGGTTTCGGCTAAGTGTTCGTTATTTGTTTTATCAAAGATCAAAACATGGACTCTTCGTTTTCCCGCTAAAGAAAACCCTAATATGCAGACCACATTGTTCGATTGGCCAATCGTGTTGCAGTATGATGTCGAAGCGAAGTATCAATTGATTGCTGGAAAGTTCTCGAACATGAAGGTTTTTAATTTCACCCGAACGTTTCCTTAACCAACCAAAAGCCATTCGCGTTTGTATCCGTTCGATAAACCAATCAAATCGCTCTATTTCCTTTCGTTTGTTGTTCTGTTTTTTTCTGGTGTGTTCATTTCAAGGTCATACGAAAATCGCTCTAAAAAGACTGTAAATACGTATACAGAAGGTGTTACTCATTTCAAGGGGTTACCTCACGCTATTGGCTAATATCTTTTTAAAATAGATAAACAGTCTCTTCATATCAATTGATTTTGAAAAACAATGGTCCAGTCTTGTTTTCACTTTTTTACATTACATGCCATTTAAGCGTTGAAAACGTTTCCTGGTGTTGTTGCAAAGGGTTGGCAAGGATGAATATGGATTGACTTGAAACAGTTGAGCCAACATTATCAAGTTTTAATGCTATCCAAAAAAAATATTATTATTATTATTGCTACTAACTACCCTACGGGAGCAAAGATGGACCTAAAACAGCAATATATCCTCGTACTAGCTCCTTTAACCAATTAAAAAACCCAGTAAATATTAACTCGTTAATATTCAGTAGGCATGCTTATTGTCTAATGAACTTGAGGAATTGTGCAATGGAAATGACACTTTCCTGAATCAATTTTTTTCCTCCTGTACGAATATCATCAAACTGCTGAGATTTCTTTCATTTGGAGAGCCGTATTGCGAAGGCAGATAGACGCTTTTAAAAACTGTGTAGCGTGGGGGAACTCCGGAGTACCATTTTCAGGCTTCAGACATAGTTTAGCTAGTATTTCTTATTTAAAGGATAGTGCATTTACAACAGTTAAAGGCATGCAGCGATTATTAGGTATGTTAAAGGCATATCATTTCCCAGTAGGGGGTACCTTTTCTGTCAAAAATGGTACATAAAAGCTGGTAAAGGGTTGGACCACGTGGCGGACCCTCTCTGTATAAAACTTTGTAGAGTACTAAGGGGACGTTTTTGAAGCTGTTCAAATCACTCACAGCGCGTGTTTTGAACATTACAAACTACAGTAAAACCCGCGACTAAGAACTCGGTTTTTAAGAGCATGTAAGGCTAAAGTTTATCCGTTAGGCCTCCTCTATACTGCTGAAAATAAATACAATGTTTTTTTCTCCAGAAAATGAGAACCTAGTAATGCAGATTCTTAGTCGCGGGTTTTACTGTATTTAGCTAATTTATCTTTTCGCAATTGATGTTTGTAATCAAGATAAAATATGCGTTATAGGCAATTTCCGAGTTCCACAAACCCTCACTTACCAAGCAAGGCTAAGTGCAAATCCTTTTTGCGATAATAAGTTTCATTTGCATGGGAGTGAACAAAGTCATTTTTGTCACAATCATTTGGCTTAAAAACGGACAGAAGCTTGGGGAGACTCAGAGATAGCCTATTAATATTATACATTTAGATTTTTAGAATTAGTTGTTATACACGGTTTTATGGTGTATTTTTTCTTTTTTTTTACTTTGTGAAGGACTACTTCGTATGTAAGCTGCAAAACAGTCGGTTTTTTCCCTCATAATCGATAATACAAAGGCCTAAAGGGCAGCCTTGAGATTTTCGCGCGAGGCGCGGGAGCCTCACACGCTCGTAGGCCCAGTATCACTCGCCCTTTTTCACCTTCCCACCTTTCGATTAACCTCTTGCGCGCGCGTTCTTAATCAAGGTAAAAAGTCGGGCTGTTTTACAGTTTAATACGAATGTGGTCAGTGATAAAATATAACAGTGTGTAAAAAGAAGCCAATGAAGTCAAGTCCAGTACATCTTAACTTCTGCTTTATACTAGGCTTGTTATCTGTTTCTAAGTCAGTAAAGTTAACCAGTTTAAGAGAATTCAATAAATTTACTATTTGAACCTGATTTTCCCCGTGTTGTTATCTGTGACTCTAATAGGGAAGGGGGAAAATATATCGAAATGGGAATGAGAAGCTTGATATGGGAAATGTGTCAGCTATTAACCTTCGGACGTACAAGGGTGGGCTGGGGGGTGGTTGCCACCCCTACATAAGCACCTGTAAGCATCTACGTCAGCGCCTGAAGTTTTCTGTAGCTCTTTGTTTATCCCTCGCGCCCGTTTTGAGACAAGTTTAGTGATGGTCAGTTACTATGGATACGAGATATGACGTCATAATTAGCAGGTGGTTTCCATATGATCGTCCGGATCGTCCCGATAGCCCTAGTAATTTCAAAAACATTTAGAGACGATCCGGACTTCGACTAGGGTCATTTCTGGTTTCCACACGACCGTCTCGATCGCCTCAACGACAAGAGACACGACTGGGGACGTCAGCGATGTCTCTGGGTCAGACAATAGAATTTTTGCGCGTGTTTCCCAAAACAAGCCAAACATGATGATGCAGATGATGGATTTTAAACGGAGAGCGAACCTCGAGGCTTGCTACCTTTCTTTTCTCTCGATTTTGCGACGTCGACAAGCAAGAAGAGTTCCACGAAGACATAGTATCACGTGAAGAACTTGACTTTCTCTAGTTTCAAATAGCGCCAATACGCGATGCAAACACTTTTGTATTATTTTTTCGACTTCAGCGGCGTCCAGGCCGAATTTATTCTCGATTACTGGAATAGTAGTGATGATTTCTGGGATAGCCTTCGATCGTCCCGATCGTCTCAGTCGTCTGAGAGCGTTTCCATGTGATCGCTTCAAAATTTACACGATCATCCCGATCGTCCGGATAGAACTCACCTCTATCCAAGCGACCGAGGTCGTCTCAGTCGTCCGGGTCGTTTGTGATCGTCCGGGTAGCGTTTCCTCATAATCGTTCCGATCGTAATATTTGAGATGACTGGGAAGATCCGGACGATCCATGGAAACCAGGCTTAGGCGGACAATTCCCGTGGGGGGCCGCTGCGGACGCTGTCAGGGTTTACGAGATAGATTATATCTTTGCTTTTTAAGCTCCTGTTTCGCCTCTGACATTTTGTCTGAATCTTTAATAACATATCAACTTCAGATCGCTTTTAATCACATTGAATTTCTATCAGTTTCAGTGTTTTTTCGTCTCTTTTCTTGCACATACACGTACGATCACACTTTAGAATGTAGATACATCATTCTGAGAATTGTATTTTCCATTTAAAAGCTGTTTAAGTCATTTTATGTTTTTAAAGAGAATACAAAATGATGTTGACTTGTTGGATAGAGCTACTGTATAGTCACACTGAGGAGCACCTGAAACAAAAGGATAAAAAAAATGGCGGCGGTCAGAGAGAGCGGTTCAACCTTGGAAGTAATGGGCACCAAAAAGACGGAGCGTGAGATGGGGGCACGCAAGGGAAGAGGGAGCCCTCTCCGGATATGATGCATCTGTCGTAGGCTTGGTCCCCTTAGCGTAATTTAAAACCATTCATAAGACGCGAACTATGAAGTTTAAAAGCCAACTTGTCCGAATTACGTTTTTTGCTACCGTCAATCATAATTACGATCACAAGCAACAAACCTTGAAACATAGAAACTCACAAAATGGATTGAAACCACTAATCACACATCACAAACCATGGCCTTTTCGATTTTAATTCTTGGAAGTAAACTTTTCTTGATCTCTCTTGCTAACTGAGTTGATTGACGACAGCAGAAGACGCAAACAGTAGTTGGCTTTTGATCTTGGCGTGTTATTGAAAGCCACAGTAACCTTGCCAATGTTTCACTGACACCACCTGTGCTTCCACAGATGCTGTAACTTTGGTTTTATTAATAAACAATTAGAACTTAGTCAGCTATAAAGCGCTCTCGATTGGTTGAAAAAGAGTGCTTTATGAGAGCTGAGAGATTATAGCAAACGGAGCTAAAACCGTCACATCATCTGCCAATAGTTTGGTTTGAAAATCAGAAAGCCATGCTTGGGGAATTAAGGGATTCTTTATCATGAAACAGATATATAACGAAGCCTTGACTGAGCTCTTTTCGACTACGCCTCGTGTTTACCCCTACACTTCTTTCTTACTCTAGCGGCTTTCGGCGTCATTCAGTTACAACAGAACAGAGCACAGTCAAGGGACGCCTTATTTGTTGATTAAAAAGCAGTTTGCTGTTAATAATTTATATTTGTTTTTGATAGAACGAAAAATAGCTAGGAGGAAGCTGCAATTATTTTAAATAATATGTGGGTTTTGCCACTATTTAAATGAAGTTTGCGAGTTCTATAAGACTATACTCATTATACACGTTCATATTATAACAATTGTAGTCTAGATGAATTAGTCGTTGTGTCGCTTAAAAAGGGAACATTGATCGCGCGGCTTGTTGCAACAGAACGGAGCTCAGTATTTGTTAAATAAAGAGCAGTTAATAATTTATATTTGCTTTTGCTAGAACCGAAGAAAAAAAGGAACCATCAATTATTCCGAATAATATTTGACTCTTTTTAGTATTTGAATGAAGTTTGCAAAAAAAAAGGTGCTTAGTACACGAGTTCATATGATGATACATGTCAAATTCAAGATTAAAATTCACAGTAAGCTAATATCCAATAACAGCTCAACAACCTTTAGGACTGCTTTCGGGTGCACTGCCAGATAACTTCAATCTACTTGCGAACGCGCGTAAAATTTACGTGCCGTCTTACTCATAGAGTAATCAGTCAGAGCTCCGTCAAAACTCTAATGTGAGGAATCAAAACTACAATTTTCAACAACATCTTTAAGTCAGTTATCAGTTCGCTGACCAAGACCGCATCCGTAAAATAGCCCTCTAAAACTCTCAACAGTTAGTTAAAGAGTACTTAGAATGCGTAAAGGTGTGATCTGGCCTCACAAAAGGGAAAAAAACAGAGAGATTCGTCTATTGTTAGTTTAACCCGCCTACTCCACGATGAAGAGTACTGACGCGCGTTCAAGGTAACCACTGAAAACGCTCCTGTTCAGCATTTTAGAATAACAATAAGCGATATTACAGACCTAGAAGCTTTCACCGACTGTAGTTAAATGTCGCGAGAACAATAGCCATTTCTCCTGATGAAAGAGGCGACGCTTTTTAGTTTACTTTAATTAACTTTTACGTTTGCGCGCGACCTTCAATACATTGCCTCTATTTTATTTACGCGCGTAAAATATACGTGTGTACTTACGTCAATTTTACGCGTCAGCGGAAACCCACCCTATGTACTTTAGGTTTGCTTGGTTACACTGACCGTAAGGAGTCTGCGAACGAGAAAAGAAGGAAAGAAAGTGAGGGATTGCTACTCCCCTTTCTGTCCCTATTAATACAGGAGAGTGATGCCTGCAGAGGAACGAGGCCACACTCTACCGGACGAATTTTCGACTGGCTGAAAAATTTGACCGGACACTTCGTTCAGACGGGACTTTGAACTGCTAGACGTCTGATTTCTTTGTACGGTTAAGGTAGTTCCGTGTGAACAGAAAACCTAAACGCGTAAATTTCAACTGGTCGAAAAATAGTCCGACGCACCTTGTGAACATAATTCTACAATTATTTTGGGACTTTCATTACTGGCCGCTTAATCATGAAGTTAAACTTAACTCCAAAAAAATATAGAGCTAATTAATAGACTATTACTGTGCAACTGTCAGAACTGTTTAGAACATTAACTCAAGCGTCACGTTCACTCTTGCTGTTAAAAGGGTGAGAAATTGAGGAAAGGACACCATTTATTGGGAGTATATACGAAACTTGATTTGAACCTGTTTTCACTGAAAGTTCATCGATCCTTATGATTCAAAACGTTTACGTTGAACAAAGAAACCCTTGACGTCAGTCCGGGGAATGAATCCGTTGCAAACTTTAGCAAAAAAATTTTCAGCTCTCAGCTGCTTCCTTCAAGATATCGTTCAAGACAACCAAGCAGCTCAGTATTTGTTGGAAAGGTAAGCGCTAAGTTGTTGTGAGAAAAAACAACGATAAGCCTTTAAAACAATTCCTCTCCTCACATGATCGCAAAGTCATCTTGCTAATAGTCACCGCAACAAAGTTAAACCTCGCTGAATTTTGTTTTTTTTAAAGAGAAGCTTAAATTCGCCATACCATGCAAAAGAGAAGATTTTAAGAAGATACAATGTACTGCCGGTTTTAATCGCCATACCTTGCAGAAAGAGTTTTTAAGACGCTTAGTACTTTTTATTTTGCGTGTTCTTTTGTAACTAGAAATTTCAAAAATATCTTCATCTTTTTAGGTTCTGAATAATACGAGATCGTTGATAAAAGATTTTGTTCCTTCTACGTACTGGAGTCATCAAAGAGGAAGTTCATATTGACAAGTTTATCTCAGTGACAATTTTTCTGAAAGGTTTGGCATAATTAAAAAAAAATTGTATCTTGTTTACACTATGGGAGGTCTGAAAAACAGGCCTACTGTTCGGTTAATAACTTGGTTAGTAGTTGCACGTTGCAGTGGGCAGAAGCTAGGTTGTAGTAGCGAACGTCTTTATCGGACTTCGTATAACAAAGGAGCTTAGATGAAGTTTCTTCAATCATTGGCCTTTTTAGTATTCATTCAAAGATATTTTCTAGGAACGATAACTTGGAAGTTGATTGACTTTTATTGGCAAAATTAGTGTGCGATACAATACAATCTCTTTGTGAATATTTAATGACTTATTCAAGTTTAACGGAGGAAATATTCGTGAAACGTACCCTAGGGGTTGGGGGTGGGGGGAAGTACTCCGTACAATGGCCTATACAGGGAGGCTCCGCCCAAAAGGAGCTAAAGTTATTTGGCCTTCATGTATATAAAATGGTGGGGGTTTACTAGCTGAAGTATATGAAAAAGTAGGAAAATCTATCATTTCTGTCTGTAAAAAAGGGGAAGGGTTAACAAATGCATTTTATGGCTGTGAAAAAGTAAACAAAAAGAAAAAAAAGGTTCTTGTTTTGTGATTTATTCATAGTTTAAAGGGTATTGGATCCGAACAGCAGTTAAAAATGAATGCAAAGTTCCAAACTAGGTATGTGATAGGGGTGCTTTTTATGTCATAATTAAATGTATACAAAAGCCTAAGGGGCAGGACCTCGGGGCTGGGCCTTCCCGTATAAACCTTTCTTGAGTACTCCACCCTTCCCAGTGAAATAACTTTTCTACCAGGTGATCCATTACTTCTTAGTGACTTGCAGTTCAATGAGCGCTAACAATAACAGCTACAATTTAACTTCCTTTTTAACTCGTGGGTACGCGCGAGCGTACCACGAGTTATTGCAGGGACTGAGATATGCAAATGAGTCACTCACTCACTCGTAGTAGACGCGCTTCGTAATTAATCGGGTCCGAACTCGAGAGCGCGAAGATCTATCGTTTCCAAAGAAGCACGCGCTCACTGAAGTTCGGTAACATCAAATTCCTTGCTGCGAGCGTGCATCGTGCGCTACAGCACGGTTAGGATAGAGGTCTTACCAAATTTAAGACAGGCAGGAATCTTTCAAATTAGTACGATTCAAATGCGACAATAGCCTTTGACCCGTCCAGGCGTTAAACTTGACAAGAAGATGAGCATTTGCTATTCGACTCCTTCAACTTCGACGCTGGCTTGATCTCCTACCTTGTAGTACTGTAGTAGGTTATGTGTATGAATGAATTTATGGCGGTCAGTATAAAACACCGACTGCGGACTACGGACTGCGGACTGGGTATAAAATACGGACTATAAAATATGGACTGGTGAAATGTATGGTAAATAAAGGCACTTCTTCTTCTTCTAAAGGACTCCCCAAGATCACGGGGGGAAATGGATGTGAGTTTGAACACTACCTTTTTAAAATAACAGCGGAAATCGAGATAAGAAAACATAAGCTAATGTTTTGCGTCCTACTTCGCGGAGGAGTTGTGTCGGCTTTGTATTGCATATGTTCTTTCATTGCCATGAAATGCATTTACATTGTTTTTTACTGTCAGTAGCCTGGTTTCAATTAGCCTTAATTTCATCTCATTGCTTCGAGTCGTTTTCATGGCCGATCGTTTGCCGGCGGAAGTTCCATGAAAAAGGCATTAAATATGAGACTTTTCTCTAAGTCACGTGACCATCCTCAATGGCGTAGTGGCTATGTGAGGTCGGGTCAAACTGAAGGTACCGGGTTCAAATCCCGCTACGGACCCTCTTTTTCCCTTCTTCCTTTTTTTTTTTTTGTTTTGTCTTGTTTGCTTATTTGTTTTGCTGTTTTTTTTGTTTTGTTTTTAAATATATACTTAAATAACTGTTACTAAAGTGCAATAAACAGCAAGAAAAGTATTGTGTTTCCAGAACAAGGATAGTATATTTATAATATGAATTTCTATCATTTCCTAAAATTCACTGTGGGAAAACCAGAGGTGATAACTAATTGATTATTTTCTAAACAACGTACCCACGAGTTGACGATAGTCTTTCTTTGATTTCAACTAACCAAACTTTATTCGATTTCTTTCTAAAGGGAGGAGAAAAGAGAATTAAAAGAAAACAATGACCTCCAGGATGCTCTCTTTAGCCGAGTGCAGCACATGGTATGCTGTATCCCTTACTATAACTGTTTCTGTGGTTGCAGTGAACTTCCTATCAATTATCCTTTTTATAAAGAACAGTAATCTTCGCACTCGTGCCATGTACTTGGTTATAAACTTGACTGTGGCTGATATGTTTGTTGGAGGAATTGCCACTTTCTATGTAGTATTTTATTTCCTCCTCTACGGTTGCGAAGCAGCTGGAAAGACATTTTTGATCTGGGCGGAATTGCCACCTATTTTGTTTGTACTTACCGTGAACGAGGTGTGGCTCCCCCTCACCTCTGTAACAGGCATTGTAGCAATTTCTTTAGATCGGATGCATGCGACGTTTCGTCCATTCAGGCATCGCAACATCAAAAAATGGGCCTACGGGGTAACAATTGCTGGCGTCTGGACTTTAACTGCGATGATAGTAATTCCCTTTCCGTTAATACGTCTCTATGGGAACTTGCATCAACAGTGGCAATTGGTATTTCCATCGTACTTATGGCGGTCATATTGTTTCCTTTGCCTTTTAGTTATCTGTGTTTCTTATACCTCCATTGCTTTATTTTTTTGGTGTGGAACCCGTCCTCCGTCCCATGGTGCTGCCAATAGACAAAGAAAACTGACTGACACATTATTTATAATGACCATTGCATCTTTGCTGCTGTGGTTACCATATGTTGTATATACTTTTGTTTCTTTTTCTGTTCTAGGTAGGTTTTCCTCCCTGGCACATTTTCGCTTGAGATTATCTTTTTCTCTTCTATACCACACAAACTCGCTTGTTAATCCCATTATTTACACAATCAGAATGCCAGAGTTCAGAAGAGCTCTCTTGATATTATTTAAACGTCGACAAAGACAAAATGCTGCTATTCCTCTTCAAGCCCGTTAATTTACCTTGTCTAACACTTTATTGTAAGTTCAAATGAAGACCAGTCAACTATGTCAACTATTGCAAAAAAAAACTGGACCATTGTTTTTCGAAATCATCTCTTAAAAGACTCTAAATAAGTATATAAAAGCTGTTACTCATTTAAAGGGGCTACCTCACGCTTTTTGCTAATATCTTTTTAAAACAGATAAACAGTCTCTTCACATCAATTCATTTCGAAAAACAATGGTCCAGTTTTGTTTTAACTTTTTTACATTACATGACATTTAAGCGTTGAAAACGTTTCGCCTTGTCTTTGCAAAGGGTTAGCAAGGATGAATATGGATTGACTTGAAAAAGTCGAGGCAACATTTTCAAGTTTTAATCTTATCCAAAAAAAAATTATTATTATTATTATTATTATTATTATTATCATCATCATTATTATATCTTCTTCATAACTCTACGGGAGCAAAGATGGACCTAAAACAGCAATATCCTCGTACTAGCTCCTTTAACCAATTAAAAAACCCATTAAATATTAACTCGTTAATATTCAGTAGCTATAAAAAATTGCGATAAAACATTTCTTAAAATCATTTTAAGATTAAAAAATTGCTAAAAAGCGACGACGTTTCGACGTTAGCTGAACGTCATTATCAAGTCAAAATAAGTTAGTGATTTTTGGTCTATAAATACTAAAAAAACAACAATAGCTGATTGAAAAATTGTAACGTGACGTGACGTAATTGTAACGTTTAGTATTTATAGACCAAAAATCACTAACTTATTTTGACTTGATAATGACGTTCAGCTAACGTCGAAACGTCGTCGCTTTTTAGCAATTTTGTAATCTTAAAATGATTTTAAGAAATGTTTTATCGCAATTTTTTATAGTTAAATGCTTTTCAAAATCACTTCTTGTTCGAATATTCAGTAGGCATACTTATTGTCTAATGAACTTGAGGAATTGTGCAATGGAAATGACACTTTCCGCGAGCAGCGTACGATTATCATCAAACTGCTGAAATTTCTTTCATTTTGAAAGCCGTATTGCGAAGGCAGATAGACGCTTTTAGAAACTGTGTAATCCAGGGGGGGGGGGGCGGGGGGTACTCCCTACAATGCACTAGACGGGGTACCATTTTCAGGCTTCAGGCATAGTTTAACTAGTATTTCATATTTAAAGGATAGTGCATTTACAACAGTTAACGGGATGCAGCGTTTATTAGGTATGTGAAAGGCATATCATTTCCCAGTAAGGGGTTCATTTTCTGTCACAACTGGTATATAAAAGCTGGTAAAGGGTTGGACCACGTGGCGGACTCTCCCTGACTTTGTAGAGCAGCCCCCCCGTTCCCCTCCCTTGGGGCTGTGTACTTGGGTTCTTCAATCAATTTGTATAGTATTTGATCAATGTAGCATTTGTTATTTTTACAGCTTTTTCCTTTTTCAATGCATTATTAAGAATCCTATTGAAATAAAATACTAGGGGGACGTTTTTGAAGCTGTTCAAATCACTCACAGCGCGTGTTTTGAACATTACAAACTACAGTAAAACCCGCGACTAAGAACTCGGTTTTTAAGAGCATGTAAGGCTAAAGTTTACCCGTAGGCCTCTTCTATACTGCTGAAAATAAATACAATGTATTTTTCTTCAGAAAATGAGAACCTAGTAATGCAGATTCTTAGTCGCGGGTTTTACTGTATTTAGCTAATTTATCTTTTCGCAATTGATGTTTGTAATCAAGATAAAATATGCGTTATAGGCAATTTCCGAGTTCCACAAACCCTCACTTTCCAAGCAAGGCTAAGTGCAAATCCTTTTTGCGATAATAAGTGTCATTTGCATGGGAGTGAAAAAAGTCATTTTTGTCACAATCATTTGGCTTAAAAACGGACAGAAGCTTGGGGTGACTCAGAGATAGCCTATTAATATTATACATTTAGATTTTTAGAATTAGTTGTTATACACGGTTTTATGGTGTATTTTTTACTTTGTGAAGGACTACTTCGTATGTAAGCTGCAAAACAGTCGGTTTTTTCCCTCATTATCGATAATACAAAGGCCCAAAGGGCAGGCCTGAGATTTTCGCACGAGGCGCGGGAGCCTCACACGCTCGTAGGCCCAGTATCACTCGCCCTTTTTCACCTTCCCACCTTTCGATTAACCTCTTGCGCGCGCGTTCTTAATCAAGGTAAAAAGTCGGGCTGTTTTGCAGTTTAATACGAATGTGGTCATTGATAAAATATAACAGTGTGTAAAAAGAAGCCAATGAAGTCAAGTTCAGTACATCTTAACTTCTGCTTTATACTAGGCTTGTTATCTGTTTCTAAGTCAGTAAAGTTAACCAGTTTAAGAGAATTCAATAAATTTACTATTTGAACCTGATTTTCCCCGTGTTGTTATCTGTGACTCTAATAGGGAAGGGGGAAAATATATCGAAATGGGAATGAGAAGCTTAATATGGGAAATGTGTCAGCTATTAACCTTCGGACGTACAAGGGTGGGCTGGGGGGTGGTTGCCACCCCTACATAAGCACCTGTAAGCATCTACGTCAGCACCTGAAGTTTTCTGTAGCTCTTTGTTTATCCCTCGCGCCCGTTTTGAGACAAGTTTAGTGATGGTCAGTTACTATGGATACGAGATATGACGTGATAATTAGCAGGTGGTCAAACCATTTTCCCGTAAACCATGGTTTCCATATGATCGTCCGGATCGTCCCGATAGCCCTAGTAATTTCAAAAACATTTAGAGACGATCCGGACTTCGACTAGGGTCATTTCTGGTTTCCACACGACCGTCTCGATCGCCTCAACGACAAGAGACACGACCGGGGACGTCAGCGATGTCTCTGGGTCAGACAATAGAATTTTTGCGCGTGTTTCCCAAAACAAGCCAAACATGATGATGCAGATGATGGATTTTAAACGGAGAGCGAACCTCGAGGCTTGCTATCTTTCTTTTCTCTCGATTTTGCGACGTCGACAAGCAAGAAGAGTTCCACGAAGACATAGTATCACGTGAAGAACTTGACTTTCTCTAGTTTCAAATAGCGCCAATACGCGATGCAAACACTTTTGTATTATTTTTTCAACTTCAGCGGCGTCCAGACCAGGAATAGTAGTGATGATTTCTGGGATAGCCTTCGATCGTCCCGATCGTCTCAGTCGTCTAACAGCGTTTCCATGTGATCGCTTCAAAATTTACACGATCATCCCGATCGTTCGGATAGAACTCACCTCTATCCAAGCTACCGAGGTCGTCTCAGTCGTCCTGGTCGTTTGTGATCGTCTGGGTAGCGTTTCCTCATAATCGTTCCGATCGTAATATTTGAGATGACTGGGAAGATCGGGACGATCCGGACGATCCATGGAAACCAGGCTTAGGCGGACAATTCCCGTGGGGGGCCGCTGCGGACGCTGTCAGGGTTTACGAGATAGATTATACCTTTGCTTTTTAAGCTCCTGTTTCGCCTCTGACATTTTGTCTGAATCTTGTATTTTTAATAACATATTAACTTCAGATCGCTTTTCGTCACATTGAATTTATATCAGTTTCAGTGTTTTTTTTTTTTTGTCTCTTTTTTTGCACATACACGTACGATCACACTTCAAAATGTAGGTGCATCATTCTGAGAATTGTATTTTCCATTTAAACCGTTTAAGTCATTTTATGTTTTTAAAGAGAATACAAAATGATGTTGACTTGTTGGGTAGAGCTACTGTATAGTAACACTGAGGAGCACCTGAAAAGGATGACAAAAATGGCGGCGGTCAGAGCGAGCGGTTCAACCTTAGTCTGAGTAGCAGGCGCTTGGAAGTAATGGGCACCAAAAAGACTGAGCGCGAGGGAGGCACTTAAGGGAAGAGGGAGCCCTGTCCCCTCGTATGGGGCTTCCTCGCGCGGCCCGTTTTTTCTTTACTTCCAAGCACCCGCTACGCAGGCTAGTTCAACCCTAAGTAACAAAATATTAAAAAATGCATAACATGAGTAAATTCGATAACATTACGGAAAAAAAATAACAGTCACATCTACAGCATTTTTTGAACTGAAACATAACGAGATCCAAAGGGGGTAACAAACCCCCTATGAAGTCTGAACTACGTGGCGACACTAGCCCGCGTAGCAGGCGTTTTCGTGCGGGAACGAGGAACGAGAATCAAGGACCGCGCGAAAAATGGCGCGAGTAAATTCCCGTTCCTCGTTCTTTCCTTGCTCCGAAACCAAACAGAAAAGCTTGCTACTCAGGCTAATGCGACACGAAATCTACAACTACTTCTTCTTCTTCGGACGGTGGGCTATGTGTTAGCTCTCAAATTATGACCATCGGTATCAATTACGGTCATTACATGGTGACTATTTTTTATTGGGCTGCCCGTTAGGGCAACGCTCAATCAAGAAATACCTCTTGTTCATGTCGAAAAAAGACCAAATGGTCGGAACGGAATTTCTAGAAAACTGTTCATGTCCCTCTTTCCCTGGGGCCGATTTTTGCGGGGAGGGGACGCCTCATTTCAGGTCGTCTGGCGAACAGACTTGGAAGTCGATTTGGAACGAACACAAAATTATTTTGTGGAGTTATTGGCCCTATTTTTTTGGCTGCGCCGAATTATTATCTAAATACAGTATTCGATGGTGTAATTAGCCTGCGCGGGAGCTGCAGAAACAATGCCCTCCCACGGTTCCCACGGGAAAAGCTTTAACTTATGTTGCAATTTTCTCCCTGCTTGTGAAAAGTCTGCCATATATGGGCTTTATAGACATGTGCCGCTGTGAAGGGTATGGTTTTCAAGCAGTTTACTCTGGGATAGGGTTTATAAATCAGAGAGTTTGGGTCTAGAAGAAGGTATCTTTTTCCATTTAAACTGATCAATTGGCTGAAGATTTTAGTCTAGACTAGGAAAACCGGGAATTGCCACTCAAGAATATAAAAAAAATCAGATCGGATTTTTTTTGGCTGGGCTGTGCTAGTGACCTTAGTTGTTTCTGGAAATCAGCTGGCTACTCTAGGATAGGGGGGCACTTGGGGAGTTTAGTCTAAATTCACTTGAACTAGTTCTGGTATAGGCTAAGGGTCATGGTCCCAGCGGCACATCCCCACCCCAAAAGTCCTAAAGTACCCCCCCGCGAGAGCGTGATGCACGTGAAGAGTTGTTGTTTTGCTCATTAAATCTTTTGTTTTTTGACGTTCCCGTTGCCGTCGTCTTCGTGGTTTCGTGGGAACCGTACGTGTTGAGTAACTAATCCTGTACTAAAATTGGGCTAGAGTTGCAAACCGCCAAGTTTCTTTTTCTCTTTTGAAGCGGAATTAAACTGGAATTAGTACTTTATTTTATCGTCGGGCGCGGCGACTAACAGAAATTAAAAAGCTATCATTCTTCTTAGAAAAGAATTACATCTAACCAACACTATCCTCCTGTCTTTGACTGCACCTTGAAACTAACGCGTCAGCGAGCGGGTCGCGTGACACTCGCGCGTGACGTCTTAATAATTATATTCCCCAAATGGAGAGCTTGATAGCAATCTAATACACTTTACACGGACCGTTCCTTACAAGATACCTCGTAAAACTAGGCCTTTTTTCCATTAAAACGAAACAAATATACAATTTCCCCTTCTGAAGGGCTTACTTCGTCATAATTTTCAAGAATGTTGGGATTGGATGCGTTGTTGTTGTTAAAATTCTTCAGTTCTACTTTTTTTCACCGAATCCGTGACGCATGAAATTTCCTACTTGTAGACTTTTGCCAAACAGTATGTTCTGCCGTTGCATAGAACTATTTTGTTGTGTATTAACTTCTGGGCTCTCTCCCATGAACCTTTGGAGTGGACATTGATCACGATGAAAGTTTGGTGCGTTTCCGTTCTCCAAAGGAAGTCAGAAGATGAACGTTCAGGCAAACTAAAACTGAAAACAACGCTGTGTTTCATCTTTGACAGTTTTGAAATTTATTCAGAGGCTAGATTTTTTTGAAGATGGTTTACGTGGTTTATTGCCGTAGAATATAGCTGAGGGTATAAAATGTAAAAATTGATATTGAAACTAAAAATACTCGTTAGTTTGAAATGTTTAGAAGCAGCATTATTATATAAAGGGTTCATGATTTTCCGGTCACAAAAAGTTCGTGCGCATATGAACTTCCGCTCTTAATTCCCGTAATAAAAATTGGTCACACAACCTAAATACATGTTTTGCAGAGTCTGGTGATATTCTCAAACCTCAAAACTGAGTATGTAAACAGGTAAGTAATTTTTTTTCACTCTTCTGTGAACTGCCTCAGTAAGATTTTCTGTATTTAACCCCATACACTTATCATACTTTCAATACATGTAATTTCATACTTTTTCTTGCAAGTAGTTTAAGAAACGGTCCAGATGAGAACGATAGCAACAACGGCAACGAACATGTTGGAATGCAAAAAAGGTGCTAACTTTTCTATTGTCTGTACTTACTTCTGATTGGCTTAAACAGCAAAAGTTAACAAAACTTCATAAAGCGCTGCATATATTCATCCTTATTTTCCAACCATCTTCCATATAACAAAATCTGGTCTATGTTTGAATAACAAAGAAATCCTATGTGCGGGGAACATTTTAAATTGTAAACTTTTCTTGGTTATTGTTTTGAACTCTTGTGACTGGTTAAAATCTTTTAAGACACAAAAAAAACCTTTCAAAGTGGATTGTAAATGCATTTTATTGCGTAAACGGCCTTCATGTAGGTTTATGCATTCTCTGTGTAAAAATGAGAACATTCCTACTGGGGAAAGCACCGTTGCCGTATAACAAAAGAAATTTCTATCCACCTTTCCCGGATCATTACTTAATATGCACAGAGTTGAAACATGT